TAGTCTTAAATACCATTGGTAAAGGTCAGTTATCATAAATATGGGCTACTCTGCTTTTGATTCTCTGGGTGGCCTTTGATGACGACGTAAACCAACTCCGGTGTGAAGCAGGTAAAGCCAGTGAATAAGCTATTTATACGCTGTTTATTCTACATAAACAAATACCTCACATGCGTAGACGTAAATACGTATATTACAAGATTAGATACCGGTAGATGTGCTTTCGCACATTAGTGTTTTCATATTCAGTTGTCGAAAAATGATTGCATATAAGTAGGCATATTATTAGACCTCTGTCTGAAACATCATCTAGAAGCATTCATCATTTTCTGTTTAATATGCATTTCTCACTGAAGTAACGTTAAGCTAGTACTTAACAACTTATACCAGGGAGAAAGCAAAGTACTTGAAATGTTCGTATCGGAATCCATCCGCTTTTTTCAAAGTCGAATTTAATGTATTATTCTCAAAGTAACCGTCTTAAGACCGTGAGGCCGTTCTTGGCTGTAATCGTTTAGATTCTAACTTGAAGCAGAGGATTTGGATATGTTTCGAAAGTTTTTAAGTGATCCTTCGCTGTTGGTCCATACTTACTGCTAATTTTATAGTGATCACGACGACGATTGCTCAGAATGCGAAGACGAGGACATTTTACCTCACGTGTCTGTGAGCGGCGTACAAACAACTGGCTTGGAGTGGGACGACAGTACTTTGCACAACTCCATTACCGACTGTTCACGAAAGCATACGTATCGCGTGTGACCGGTCGAATGACCTGTCGCTTTGGACATTCGTTCGCCCCTCTGTACTTCTACTTATGCGGTCTCCTATTTTACACATCATTTTCCGTAGGTGTTGTTGTTCTTTACTTTCTTGTTTTATTGCGGCGTTTCGTTCTTATCGTGCTATTACTGTTTTCCTATAGAATCTTGCTCTGTTTTATAGCAAATCTTTTCCGTCGCGTATCATGAAGCGTTGCTATTGTTATATTAATTTTCTGTTACTGTACATAAGTACCCGGAACTGTATTTTTTTGGAAAGCGACTACCATTTTAATGCAAATTATATTTTTTAATTTTTAAACGCTACAAAATAGTTTTTCGCTCTCCTAACATTCCCAAAATAATTATCTTTCAGAAACTACCGTGCCACTATTGTTTTCCATTTTAAGTAACATCAGTTACAATGTTAGTTTGTTGTTTGTAATGTAGCGTATAAACTGTTTATCCCATTGTATTCTGTATGTCAGTTGTCATTGCTAAATTCGGTTAGCTGGATTAAACATTGGTTGTTGTTTCGGCTGTTGCATTCTAACATCTTTCATTTCTAACTCAGGCCATCCGTCGATGACATCAAAACCATCAACAGAAGGATTCAAAAAGGAGGACAAAGAGCATGACTGAAGGGACGTCTAAAAGGCGTCTAACTACATCCAGGTTGGATTTTCTCAGCAACCCCCTTCCTCCGAGTTGCCTGGCTGGAAGAGGAGTGTTGGAATTTTGCTGTTGCCAGGCTTGGTGCTACCGGCGTGAAAAAAGAGGAGGGTTAGAGACCAGGACTAGTGCTCCCATAAAACTTAGTCACCCGCCTCAAGGTATTGCTGTTATCCGTTCGGTCCTCGCTCGCGTTACCAAGGGCAGCACATGTTTAGAAATTTAGGCAGACAGCGAAATCAGCTCTCAGAACCTCCTGGTACCTGAAAGAAAAGCAACAAGGCGACGGTTGCCGAAGATCAACAAGAAGCCAAAGATACCAGTCATCAACAGAGCCGTCACCCGTTCTGCCTTTATACTCAAGCCCTCCAATATGCTCTTTCGTGCACCTGTAAAACACCACATTCACCTCAAAACCGAAGCGGCTAATCAGGTTCCATTAAGGCTCGTCATCCAAACAGCGGAGAAGCCCCAAGCTGGATCCTTCCTGTAGGTGGTTGATTCACCACCATGAGATGAATGGTCATTTCGGATTTAGATCCAGACTAGATAGTGGTAACGCACCCGTCCGTGGTAATTCATTTTAACTGTAGATCAAAAAATGATGCGCTTATTTCAATAGATTATGTACGAAATTTAAATTCAAACAAATACCCCGTTCCGTTTCAGACTTCTGCCCAAGACATTATACAATTTATTTTCATGTTCCATAACCGCTTCTGTAAGGATCAGAAGTGCTTCTCACGTTCCCGATCATGTGACGGAGTCGGGAGTTTCGATAGAAGACAACCGGAGCAGACTGCTTCCATGTATTTGGACCAGGTAAATCTTGGCCGCCCTCTGCCTGACGGCTGGGCCAGAAATAGTTGATTCACTTCTCTTGGAGGGATTAGCAATACATTTCCAAACTATCGCAGCTGCGACTTTTCAGTCTTAAAAGGCAGCGGTTCTAGACCAAGGCTCTGGCGGATTTCTCTACTCTGAATCATATTCAGACGCGTTTGGTCTGTGATTCGTCGCAGAAAGCACATTTTAGCAGCGTCTATATGGGACGTTCCATAACTCATGGCCGCAGGAAACATGGAGATTAAGATCCACTTAACACCGACAACGCAGTCTTCAGAATTTGTCACAATTGTTCAGGCTAGTTCATGCACAACGCCACTGGCTATTCCAATTCGCCGGTCGATCTATTCCTTCAACTTTCCATCACTAGTAAATAAAGTACAGAGATACTTGAACTTCTCCACCTGCTCCACTGCCTTTCCGTCAATCAGAAGAGAGCAATGGGCAGGAGAACGAGAAAGCATTAGGCTATTCATTTTAGACACGTTCACAATCGTGCCCGCCACATTGCACTCGGCTGCAAACTTTTCTATCGTTTTCAGAAGATGGAGGCAAAACAAAGTCGTCTGCAAACAGCAACCTTCGCGTCTTCACATCTCCTACACCAATAAATTCATCGCCTTGGCTGCTAATGATTTTTCTATTCATGTACAACACAAACAGGACAGGGGACAAAACGCAGCCTTAGCGAAGACCAGTGAAAACATTAAAAGGCTTTGACTTGGCGCTATTTACTCTGGCGCAGCACCTATTAGAATATACCGATTCAGTGGCCCCGAGCAACTTGCCAACTATCTCGTATGCTTGCAGGAATAGCCATAGACTGTTGCGTGGGATTCGCTCATAGGCTTTTTCTAGGTCAACAAAACATGTACTCCGAACGACCGTACACTCACGATTTGTCAACGATCTCGTGCAGGGCAAATATATAGACAGAGGTGTTTCGACCAGGTCGGAAGTCGCGCTGCTCTTCTATCTTGGACTCAGTTATTCGGCGGAACCTCCTTTTTAGCACCTTTCCATAGACTTTACC